TTGGGGTGTGTTGTACCACCTGCCAGAATGAAGCCATCCACATGCGCCATGACCATACCGATGAGGCGTCTGGTCTGTGGGCACCGCACCTGCCACATGCACGGCTCCAGCTCGCAAGGCTGCAGTCCCAGCTTCTTGAAATCGACTTTCACCGTCTCCCACCAGTGACGTGGGGCCTCCCCGATGCCGTACCCGGGCTTGACGACGCGTAGGAGCTCGCCCTCCTTCACCTTGAAGGCCTTCTTCAGCACGGCGTCGGGTTCGATGAACAAGTCCTTCTCCAGTTCGTTCGCCTGCAGGAATGCCGAGGTGACGTCGCCCTTGATCAACTTCCAGTTGTGCGCAGCCGCGATAGTGAGCATCACGTTGCGAGCCCGTCTAGAGGCAGTTGGGCTAGCCGTAGGCTCCTTCCCGAGGTCCTTCGTCTGGTAGCCGAGGAGCACGAGTCGCGCCTTGGCCCTGCCGTCCGCCTTCCTCGTGAAGAGCCACCGCGCCCTGATGATGTCGGCAATGTCCTTGACCTCAGACGCTGGTACTGGTCGGAGTCCACGGTGCTGAAGCCAGTTGTCCGTTTCCTTAGAGATAGCCACCTCGAACTCTGCCCTCTCGGATGCGTTCATCTTGGACCATGTGAGCTCGAGCTAGTTCCTTCCGGCGCTGGTTGGCGACGAAGCTGTTGGGAATTGCCTCCATCGTGCGCTTGTCGGCGCTCCTGTCGGCCCACTCACTCTTGATGTACTCGAAGTAGACTGTCTGATGCTCGTCTACCCCCAGGAGAATGTCCAGGTCGTCCTTCTGAAGGTCCACCCAGAGCTCGCTCTCGTCCATGTCGTTGTTATCCTTCCGAAGCTTCTCCGGCGGCTGATAGAGGTCCAGCTCCGGTCCACGATGTGTCATGCGGTACCGAGGGCGCGCTGACGATGACGACGCAGAAGGTTCCCCTGGTGCTGCTGGCGTTGCTCCTCCAGTGGCTGGTGCTTCGGCTGGAGGCAGGGTCAATGGCGGAGGCGGTTGAGGTATCTCTGCTCCTGCGGGTGGTGCCATCTCCAGGTCCTGAGCGTCTTCGGAGGGTTCGCCTGGTTCAGCTTCAGGTTGAGCCATGGACCTCGGTGTAGTGTGGCTCGACTCCGGTATATTCGTTTCCTCCTCCGTGGCAGCGGCAGGGGGCGCTTCTGCCCCATCTCCTGGTTGGAACGCCTCGGTGGTCCTCGGGGGCTCGTACGCTGTGAGGTCCGGGCGGCGCTGCTCCACCAGGTCCTCGAACGTCCCAGCCTTGGCGGTCTCCAGGATCTCTGTCATGGTCTTCCCAAGGGAGGCCTGCTTCTTGAGTTCGGTCAGCATCTTCTCGGCTTCGGAGGCTGGTCGCAGATGCTCGGGTGCGCACCTGATCAACGTGTTCCCGCGGGCGATCCAGACGACCGAGGTCACCCGAGTGCGGCCGTCGATATGCCGTTTTTCTTGGACAAGTACTCGTGCAGGTCCGTACCAACCTCCTTTCTTGCCAGGTCGGTTCTCCCGTCCCTTGCCGTCGCGCCAGAAGTACACGAGGTCGCCGGCCTCCCAGGTCTGGTAGACGCGGTTCCTGGCCTGCTCTGCATGGCGTCGCCGTTCTGCGTACTCGCACTCGAGGTAGCTCTGGCGGGCCAGAAGTCGCCTCTGCTCCTGTGTCTCGCCGGTGTCCCCGTCGATGATGGCGAAGGGGTTGTTCGGGGGTGCCATCCCTGTTACGCCCAGCACGTGCTCGAACGGGAGTGGTTCCCCACCTTGTCCATGGAGTTGATCGCACTCACGGCCCAGGTGACCAGCTCCTGCGTGCTGCAATCGGGGTCGTGGGTGGCCATCTTCGTCATGAGGCGCTTGAATAGCTGTATGCGACGTTCCACCTTGCCCATGAGCCAGTGCGCCTCCCCAGAGGCAATCCATATCTCGATCCCATGGTCGGATGCCCACTTCGCGACTGTCTGAGAGCAGTGGCACCCTTCAGGGTCCATGCGAAGGAGGGCAGGTTGACGGTAGTGGCTGCACCACGATTCCCACGTAGAGATCACCTCGATGGCTGATCGGTTGCCGCTGCGCTCTCCCTTCTGCCCGTGGTAGGTGACGCTGGTGAGGCCGGACCCCTCGTCGAGGTTCAGGGTCATGATGTGGGAAGTCTGCTGAGGTGAGAGCCACTCCAGTCCGTCCGTGGCGAGGACTTCTAGTAGGCTCGGAATCTCCACGCCTGAGGCCACTCGTACAGCTTTGGGGATCTTCCCGATATGGCAGCCATGGCATTGAAATTGAAGTGCCAGTCGGAGTACAGGGACCGCTGCTCCAGAGGCCTTGAGAATATTGTAGAGTGTCTTGTTGCTGGGGTGGCCCAGATTGCGATGAAGTGGCGCGAGTCTCTGTTCGATCTCTGAGATCTCCTTTTGACGGCCAAGCCTTTGAGGGACGCCTCGGCGGTCTCCATCTCGATGTCCTCCTCCGTGTTCAGCTCCTCTGATTCGCCCGACATCTCGACGTCGTCCTCCTCTGGAATCTGCTCCAGGCCCGCGTAGACCTCCTTGCCGTACTGGGAGGTCACGTTCTTCTTGAGGATGTGTTTGGCCCAGGCTCGGCACATGGCAGAAGGATAGAAGGTTGTCTGAGCCACCAGAGGTCCGTCCTCGATGACACGATGTAGATGGTTGTCTCCGCGTCCCGGTCGGTTGCCGCAGAGCCGGCCCATCTTTGCTCCAAAGTCGAGGTCAGTAGAGCACACTCGCCATCCCTTCTTCACCAAGAGTCCAGACCTCTCGTCACGAAGTCCGTAGGCGCACCCATGAATGATCGTCTCGTACATCTCTGACCGCATCTTCTTGATGGAAGGTGATTTCGACCAGCTGCGGCTGTTCCAGGGCTGCTCTAGCTCGATGTGGCAATCGACTATCTTCTTCGCCTCCTCGTACAAGGCCAGACACCCCCGCTGGATCCTGCGCGCCTGTCGGATCTTGTTCGAGAGCTGCTTCCTCTGGTTCTCCGTCTTCTGGTTCAGGTTCTGGATGGGACAATCTGCGGTGCGCGGTGGGCTGGCTTAACACCAACCGTCGAGGTCGTGCCAGTCGAAGGAGATGCATGGCCCTGCGGACTCCTGTGGCCGTGCCCATGTCATAGCCGTTGAAGAGCCCACACCGTATCACCCTGCCGTGCTGCGCCTCCACCGCCTTGCCGAGCGACGACTCGCTCGGGCAGCACACCTCCATGAGGTCCGCGCGCTTGGTCTTAGTCAGGTTGACGGTGTCCTCGCCAATCTCGAAGTAGATCTGGTCCATCACCTTGGTCTGCGCCTGGTAGAACGCGGTGAGATCCGAGTCATTCAGGGACTTCAGCGGCCCCGCTTCTTCACGGTCTCCGTCACCTCCGAATCGTCCAGCATGCTGTCGCCCGGCACTGGCAGAAACACCCAGGGCCCCGCGGGGTCGCACTTCGCCAGCTTCGACGCCAGACGCCTCCACCGCATCGCCACGGCCTGGCTTCGGATGTCCCCTAGCGCTTCGCTGTGGGGTTCCCTCTCCGAGGTCGAGTCGCCCGGATGCAGGCGTAGGCATCGATGACTCTTTCCTCCGCGGCAACTGCATCCCGTGATCGCCCGGTTGGGCGCCTTGCAGCATGAGCACCTCGATCGAACTGTTGAGCTCGGTGGTGTCGGAGGCGGTGGCGGTGGTTGCAGCGGCGGCCCTGCTGATGGGGTCGCCGGCACCGGGGAGCCCATTTCCAGGAAAACTTCGGGGGGCGTCGCAAGTAGGGCAGCAGGTGGCCATGCAGGATGAGGTCCATGCCGTGCCTGGAGTTGAAGGCAGTAGTGGGATCTGCCGCCGTTGCAGCTGCATCCCCTCCGAGTCCGTCCCACAGCTCCGCAGCACTGGCATCGTCCGGGTGGCTGGTACTGCACTGGTGATCCCGTTGGACTGTTGATCGGCATCTGCTGTGGTGGTGTTGTCGATGCTGAGCCCGCTGTCGAAGGGGCTGGCGTCGGCGCGGCAGGTGAGGGCCCTGCCCGAGTCCTCCGACGCGCCCACTCTGGTCGCGCTGACGGCGGCTGCTGTCGCGAAGAAGAGTCTCCACATGACATCAGACGCGTTCTGACATGTAGGATATGGAAAAGCTGGACTGCTGGGAGTCTTGGAAGTTCCTGCACAACATTCTTGGGCCACACGAGGCTGAGGAATACCATTTGGCTTCTTGGGGTTATGTTCGGGGTTCTCCTCTGGCAGGTGCATCTCGTTTCCCTCGGTAGGTCCCCCGAAGCTGACCCTAGTTGTCCTCTGGGTCCCCCTAGACCCTTCCCTCGTACTAGAACCTCTCGTCGCCTCCGAAGTCCCCGAGAGTGTCCAAGGGCTCCCCCGAGTACTCGGACTCCGTGTCGCCCCTGACGGTCCCGAGAGTGTCCCCCACCTTGTCCCACTCGAACCCCTGGTCGTCATCGGTCTCGGGCTGCTCGAACGTTGAGACGTCGTGGGTCTTCTCTCGGTGGTACATTGCGTCGCTCTCGGTCGGCTCGAAGGGGGCTGGCTCGAGGTTTCTCCTGGAGATGTGGACCCTCTCGAGGTCATCGAGGTTCCCTGGACGTGGCGGTCTCCTGGACTGGGAAAAGAAGCTGGGCTCCTTGAGCATCTTTCTGTTGGCCCCCCCGATGATGAGGATGGCGATGGAGATGATATCTCGCTCGCCGACATCACCGGGGGGTGCTGTCCCTAGCGCGCGGCGAGGCAGCCAGCGCAGCCCGTCACGGGCTCCTCCGGCTTCTCATCAAGCACGATGGAGTCCCGCCCTGTCATGTTGACGTGGCAGCTCTCCAGGGACAAGGGTAGAGAGACCTCGCGCCACCACTGCGGTGTCGAGAGGTTGATCGACAGGTGCTTGCTCGAGAGCCTCTCGCAGTAGTAGACCTTGTTGCCCAGCGTCGGCAACCCGATCCAGTTGCGGCCGCAGTCGACCACTACCTTCAAGTCGTCCGTCAGGATGTCCATGCCCAGGAGAATGGGGACGCGGTTCGCCATCTCTGAGAGGCTGATGGCTCGGAGCTCCGGTCCCAAGTAGGCGCGTCCAGAGACCGTTCCCATCGAGCTCTTCTGGAGCCCGTCGCCGAAAACGAAGGAGCAAGTATCGTCGTGCGCCTCGAACTCCACGTCGTGGTTCACCATCATCTCGTACATGAGGTTCTCTACGCTCTCGACGCCACCGAGACTGCGCGTAGCTCCAATGTCCAGCACGGCCCAGATCCCCTCGCGCTCAAGCAGGTAGACGCACTCGTCCAGGGCCGACAAGATGAAGCCGTTGTGCGTGTTAGTCGTACCTCCAGTGGCGCCGCTCCCGACCTTGCCACGGTCGGGGCAGTCTCGAGCTCGATGGCCGAACTGTCCGCACACGATGCACTTCATCTTGGACAGATCTCGCGCACTTTCGAAGCGAACTCGTCGATCTTGTTGTCCGCGTCCACGTCCTTTAGCCTGTCCTCGGGGCCGCCACTCCGCGCGAGGCTTCGGCGGTGGAGCTTGTCGTCCATCTTCTCGCGGAACCACCACCGGGTAGTAGACCCTGGCTACTCGTACTTGTCGAAGGAGATCCCTGGCATCCTTGAAGCTCCGGCCAGCCTGGCGAAACTGCGCGAACACCTCGTTGTCCGCCTCCAAGTCGTCGGGCTCCACCTCCTCGTCCTCGTCCGCAAGGTCGAGGAGCTGCTCGGCCAGCTCGTAGATCTCCTCTGCTTCCCCACCAGTCTCGTCCTCGTCCTCCTCAAAGTCGTTCTCGAACAACGCCCGCTCACGCTTGACTTTGCCATCCAGCTCCGCAAGAGCTTCCGCTGGGAAGCGCGTGAGCAACGTCTTGTAGGTCTTTCCGTAGTTGAAATCACCTCCCGCGGTCGCCGTCACTTCACCTCTGAGCACGGGGGTGAGTCTCGACTTCCGCAGGAACCACCATGTGCGAAGAGGTTTCGCTATCACTTCTTTCACGTCCGGGTCGATGGCCTGCAGCTGGGTCAGCAGCTCCCTCTCCTTTTTTTCTCGAACCGGGCCGCCCAGTCCTGGAAGGTCTCTCCAGAGTTGCGGCCTATCTTCAAGAAGAACTCCTCGGCCAGAAGACCCGTGTCGTTGAGGCTGGTGTAGTCCAACTTCTCAAGCACATAGCTGAACACCCTCTCCCAGCCGACCAACTTTCCGTTGTCATCCACCTCGTCTACGTCGTTGATCGAGGGGCAGCTCTCCACGGCGTTCCGAACCCGCGGCCCAAGCGCCCGGACCAGCTGTGGTCCACAGACGTAGCGGTCGTTCACTCTGATGCTCTTCACGAACATCGACACCTCGAAGCGGTAGTTCGACAGCTTCTCTGCCTCACCGTTCCAGGATGGTACCTCGACTCGTGATGGTGCCGATGTCCCTGTTGGCGTTATCATCGTGACGAGACTGGTGGGAGCCCGTGGTGCGGTTACCACAGGCTCCGCTACCAATCTGAATCCCGTAGAGCCTCAAGAGGTCTCTGAAGTTCTCAAACTTGCACACCTCTCTCTTTCCGGGGATGTCCAAAACTGATGTTCACGATTTACAAGTAAATCAGAATCCTTCTCCACACGATGAGCCCCTTTTGCTCTCCTGAGACGATCGCGGCCCCAGCAGCGCGATCTGTGCAGCTGCAGTCAGCTGCCTAGATAAAACAAGCCCGCCCACCCACACCTTGAGCCAGTGGGCGGCGGTCACAGAACACGGCAGACCATGACTTCACAGAGAAGCCTCTAGATCTGTACTGCATAAACAACTGCTACTCTGTGTCCCTTTCAGAGGGGCCTAGGGGTCATACGGCGGTGAGTGGCGCATATACACACGTGACACACGCACTCTCCCACATCCTTCCTGCTCCTCTTCCTCCTCCTCCTCCTCCTCCTCCTCCTCCCGCTCCTCTACCACTCCTTTTCCATATGCATGAATCTTCCCTGTCGCACCCCGAGGTCAGTCGGAAAGATGGACTGGGCGTTTCGCCTGGCTTCCTCACCATTTATGATCCTCAAGCTTGAACGTTGCAACAATTTTACGGGCGGGTCGTTTTCAAACTGTGATTCTCGCCTTAGCACCGCGTGCATTCGTCTTGAAAATACTGCAAGAGATTCACGGAAGGAGGGCGAGACGTGCACATTATTTTAGCGCCGCGCACATTCGTCTTCCATATGTGCAAAAGCTTCACGGATTGAGGGCGGTTCCTTTTCAACATGTGGCTCTCGCCTTAGCGCAGGCGCGCATTCGTCTTAACAAGTAGCAGAAAGTTTCACGGATTCGCATGGCAAGCGTACCAGACATTGAGTTTTGGAACGAATCTAGATTTTCACGGTGCAACAATTTGGTTGATTCGCCGTGTTGAAATCCCAAGAGTGGTCTCCTGGCGGGATTCGGGATCGTCAACACGCAACACTCAAGTTGGTTCGTGGCATTGAAGTTCCGAGAATGGTGTTTCGGCCCGTTCAGGATATTATAACGGTTGTCTCCTAACGGGGCACTTCCCTGAGTGGAAATGAACCCTTGTAGGGACCTATGAAGAGGGAGTTCGGATGGAGGGTACATTCAAACATCATTGATGGGTCTTGGGTTCACTCTGGTCCTCCTCCTCCTCCTCCTCCTCCTCACCTCCCACCTTACCTTTCAACGCCTGTCCTTCTCACCCAACCCGTCCTGCTCCTCCTCCACATGCCGTTCACTCTCCTCGCAGATCCGTTTCCACCGCTCGCGGCAATCTGCTGGGGCGGGCGCTGCAAATCTGCTAGGGCGGGCGCTTGCCGCCGCCGTAGGCCTCGTATGGGCCGTTCTCGGGGTCTTTGGTCTGGGCCAGCGGGGCGTCTGACGTAAGGGACGAAGCGGAGCGAGGGGGGGGAGCGGAGGAGGGAAGTGGAGCGAGGGGGGAGGGGGAGCGGAGGGGGGGCGGAGGGACAGGAGAGGCGGCGACAGGGAGGGGGGAGGGGAGAAGAAGGGAGGCGCGGGGAGGCGAGGCGGAAGCGAGGCGGGGGGGGGAGGGGCAGAGCACCGCGGCAAGGGGGGGAGGAGAAGGGGGAGGTAGTGGGAGGCGAGAGGAGGGGTGCGGGAGGACGGAGACGAGGAATTGCGAGGGAACGGGGTGGGAGGGAAAGGAAAACGCGAGGGGAAAGGGGAAGGGGAAGGGACACCGTACCACCGAAGCCGGGGGAGGTGGAAGAAGGAGAGGGGGGAAGAAAGAAACGGGAAGGAGCGGGCGGAAAGATGCAAGTGGGGTGGAGAAAAAGGAACGGGGGGATGGAATGGCGAAGTGAAACGGAACAGGAAAGAGGAGAGTGAAACGGGAAGCTGAATAAGGGAAAGGGGGAAGCGGAAGGATAAAGGAGAGAGGAAATAGGTGCGGGTAATTAGTGATGAAATGGGGGTGGGGGCTCGGAGACCAGGGAACGGGACAGGGGGTGGGAAAGAGAAAGAGTGGAGGCGGGAAAGGAGGAGGAAGGGGAGGGGGAAAGGCAGGAGGGGGGAAAAGGGTGACCGGGAACGGGGATCGGGGAAGGGAGAGAGGGGAGAGAGGGGTAAGGGGAAGGGGGCGACTGGTTCGACGAAAGCGACCGCGGGGGGCCCGAATGCTATCAGTTGATAGGGGTAGTGCCCGTTGAAGCGCGCTTGTGTGGCCCGCACGGTATCCCTTGACCAGGGAAGAGCGCGCGTGCGGACCGAACGCGCATACGATTTGACAAAGGAAGTCTAGCATGTGGCCCGCATGGTATTGTTTGACGAAGAAGGTGCCCAAGGCCAGATGGGGCCGCCGGGTAGAACTCGGCCCAGAGTAAGGCCCCACGAAACGCAATTCGAAGGGAAGGGGAGGGGAGAACGGGAGGGAAAAGGTGGTGGGTGGAGAAGGCGAAGGCGGGGGGAACAAGGGCCTCTTCTCAGCGGGATGTGTTTCATGATAGAACGTACCCTCAAAAGCCAAGGCGTCATTGGACAACTAGCCTCGGTGAATAGTACAGCTGGCGAAGCGTATGATTGGAAAGCTTGCTTCATCGAAATCCGTGCGCTTGATCCTCGTCCTCCTCCTCCTCTTCCTGCACCTCGTCATCCTCTTGTTTCTCTGATTCCTCAGAAGCATAGGCAGTAAACATGCAGGTGCACAAACAATCAGAGGCAGCAGCGGGGAATGGGGACTCCCCGCTGCAATGCCCCGGCGGAGAACCGCGGGTCACGCCTGGAGGCCGCGAGGAGGACATCCAATGTGTCGCCCAGTTGCGATTGCGGTTGCGCGCCCGCGGACGGGTCGAAATGTGTCGCCCAGTTGCGGTTGCGCGCCCGCGGGCGGTTTGAAATGTGTTGTTCAAGGTGCCCTCCTGACGTTCAGTCAGTCAATCAGTCAATCAGTCCAGGCGGGCACGGAATTTCACCCGGCTCCGCCGGGAATGAAACATACATTGTAGAAAACAAAATGAACTCGAGGAGCGAGTAAGTCGTAGCCAACACATAAACTACATGAGCATACACCCACAACATTGCATTATTTATAAAGCTGTGCCTCTTATTCCTCCTCCTCCACCTCCACCGCCTCCTCCTCCTCCTCCTCCTCCTCCTCCGTATCGTTATCCCCTCCTCGTCCGTCGAAAGATTGCTGAAGAGCCGTTTACCGATCTTTACAACAAGGACCGTGCCTGCTTGTCGGCAATCTCGTTGTACGCCTTGAAGGTGGCGTCGATGTTGGCGATCGGAATGTTGTAGAACTGCAAGGTCCGATTACCCGCACAACTCTCGCGTGCGGCAACCGTACCACATGTTGGGCACTCTGTGTGCCCTCTAAGTGATACTTCCCCCCAAATCAACCAGGACGAAAGGACGAGGAGGGCAAGGAAGGTGCAAGGAGGGAGGACACACCTTCTCTGCCTCCTCATGTCCTCGCTCCATCCTTACTCCGTCTCCCATCTGTCATACCAGACCATTCACCATGACAAAGCTGTGCACGCCGCGGACGCCTCTGCAACAAGCGTCCGCCAACTTCGCCAATGCTCTTGACGTCTGTGCCACGACATCAATCTTGTTTGGAAGACCGCGAACCGTTCCCGAAGTCAATTGGGCGATGGGGGGGGGGGCAGAAGGAGGGGAAGGGTGGACAAAAAACGGACACGGGAGAGAAGGGATGGGAGGCGACGGCCGGAGCGGGGGAAGGGCAGGGGAGGGCAGGGGCAGGGGAGGGCAGGGCAAAGAAACGGAAACAACAACGGAAGGCAGCAGCAGCAGCAAGAGAGGGAGAGAGAGCGAGAGTGCTGGCGGGAAGAACGCATACAGAGAACGGGGGCAGAAAGAAGACGCGGAGAAGCAGAAAGAGAGAGAGGGAAAAGGAGAAAGAGACAGAGAGAGAGAGAGACAGAGACAGCGAGCAAGAGAGAGAGAGTGAGAAAACAACAAAAAACTGAGAGCTGAAAGGGCCAGGGCAGAGGCTCTATCTGTATACATGCACATACATACACACACATACGCACATACATGCGTGCGAACACCGAGTGTTCAAACAAATCCTTCGCCATCTCGCTCATGTCCTTGAACGACTTCATGATGCCGCGGCCCTTGTAATGTTTGCAATGCCACTCGATTTCCTCGCGGGTACAATGCGAGCCCCTTCTTCCAAAACTGCATGCTGCTAGCACTGGCGAACAAGCCTCGCGGAGAAGGTGAGAAGTGAAATGCGAGAGTTGCCATGGTATGCTGTGGTATGGTATGCGGAAGAGCATATCGCGTTAAAGCTTCGCCGATACCGCATGTGAAATTAGGATGATACGGCCTGAGTTTCAGCTCTCTGGAGGGGGGTGCCGGGGTGGCGGACAAGGGGGGCGGGGGGGGCTCAGGAAGACAAGCCCTCGTGGCGAGCAGGTTTTGAGGCCGTTCCTGTTGTGAAACTGTCAACGATTGTCATGTGCCGTGTCGTGTTTCGTTCATATCCCGCGCGCCCTCTGATTTCTCACTGTTCGGGTGTGGCTATTCCAGACCAGGTGTGTGTATATATATATACACATTTATATACATATATATATAACATGTTAGACACCTGTCATACATGCGTAGCCACGATACTTGCCACCAAATAGTTACTGCCTGAATCTGGGTCACGTTTAACTACAAGTCGTCATGAATTGAGACATGGGCATCAGCGTGCGACTTTCAAGCCGAAATTCTAGCCTCGTTTAAACACACATACGAACACTATTTCGTCAGCGGCGAAGCGGCGAAATCCGCTCCAGCGAACAGCCAGGCAGGGACATGAACTAGCGAATTGGCCGGCGTGCAAGGAGGGAGGGGAGAGGCCGAGAGGAAGGAGGGACCCTCAGACGCCGAAGAATTCGACGATGAGCAGCCGGGGGGCAGCAGCAGCCAG